TTTCATGCGTTCAAGGCGAGTGATGTCTGAGGCCATTAATGACTAGTACGACTGTAGGGCAAGGGTCCAATAAGAGCTCAGAAAAGAGTACGGATAGACGTGGGTCACGGCAGACGTGAACCACAAGCGAACGTGAAGCACAAAGCCACAGTACAGCAGTAACTTCTGAACAGGAACGAGTCAACCGTGCACCATACAACTCGCGTGACATCTACGAAGGGCGCATCTACCAACAATACGGTCACGACGACTTAAAATAGTACCAGTGTGACCGACTTAAAGATTGTATAGTACATGAGAGTCAGTTCATTGGAGAAAGCCTAGTTAAACCTATTATGAATACTTAACTATAGCAATAGTGCTACTTATATATTTTGTAGTTAAACACCCCAACTTTTTGCAAAAATAGGTTGTCAAATTTTAGTTTAGAAAAGGATTTGGGAGCTTTATTTTCTAATTTATGCTCTGATACCACCTGTGGCAGAACCGCCCGAAATAACACACTTACGGAGGCGCTTGACTTCCACTAGACATTAAGCACTCCGAAAGTGAGCCACATCAGGCAGTTCCGTCGAGCACACCCTATGGGAGAACCCAAAAATCCACATTTTTCAATAGAATCATAAATGGAAGAATAAAGCTTACAACATTTTAGCCATTTCTTACATCACTGTTTATGCAACATCAGAGTATAATATTTATTTTTTATAACAACAGAATATAATCATGTTATCAGAGTTTCAATGGATATAAAATCATCTAATGACAAGATAAACATTAACATGATGATCCGTTATATACCACACAATAGGTTATAAGTTTTTCCATTGTAAAAACATTTTGGGTGAAAGTTTCAAATAAACTCTATGTCCGCAACGTTAAGGAAATCCTCGCTGAGCCCACCAGGAGGTTTCCACACACAAGTGTCAGCTCAACATGTTCCTGTCACCTGCAACAGGGTAGAACAAACCCTGAGTACTCAATTGTACTCCGTAAGGCTTACCCATCAGGAGGAAAGAAAAGACTCCGAGGATATGCAAGGCTATCTGGCTCATGGGTTATTGCATCTGCAGGAAACATTACTAAAAGTGCATCCTTATATTCAATTTCATTAGTAGTCACCATTAGTTCAATAACTAACCATTCTATATAAGCACATGTGCTACTTTCAAGCAGGTGGTAAGCAATCAGACCATTTTATCATCTTTCATATTACAGTTCATACTACGGTGCTAGATCATAGACAAGTCGTACTGGATTACCCGGCGATTCGCGAATCAATGTGCCTAGCTAGGTACCCTGAAACACACGGCCCGCTTGTACCCCAGGCACAAGTAGGACCAACCCACCACTCTCCTGTCAAGGGGTCCATGTCTCCGTCCAAACTTGGACTCCAAGCCCCACACCTGAGTCCTGGACTCAGTTTGGTGCTTAGACCTCCACTATCCCTGCCTCCAATCAGTCGGTCTGAAAAGAGCCGAAACCCACGACAAGAGAGCAACGTGTCTTCCTGCTCCCATAAACAAGTATGTGCTCAGAACAATAAGTCTATGACCTGACTAGAATCCAATGCAACAGACGGTCGTTAACCGACACAGGTGGAACAAGCACAATCCGAGCCTCGCTCGAATGCTAAACCAAGTCTAGATCCAAGTACCATTCCGTCCGGTCTCCAATTATCATTTATATATTTTCTATGTGATAGTAATATAACAACAACAATAATATCTTTCCTATCTCTGGCGAGTGACAGGCAATCACTCGACTTCTATCGGAGTCCTATAGCATAGCAATCTACATGATCCTATCATACTTGTAAGACTCATGGGATAAGGATATATATATATATATGTGCAAGTGGGTTTCATTCAACTCCTTAAACTCAATGCACAAGCATAAAATAAAGTGCAGAATAATAGAGGTTATACACCGGGGCTTGCCTGGGTAAGATATAACCAAAAGTTAGCATTCCATCACGGTGACATGATCATCAAGGCGCCATCTTCTCCGCTACCTCAGTCAACTCCACGATCCATCGTTGTTCCTATTATGATATACGTGGATGCAACGCAGAGACGCAATTAATCAATGGTAACAGCAACGCTATAATATGATCACGCTCCGCGAGCTAACGAGCTAGCTTAATGACTAACATACTAGTCTACGTTTCCACGTCGTCAAGTAATGCTTGTTCCGAAAAATGTCTTTGACATTTGATTGATTAACTATATATTTTTGGACTAGGGCTCATTTAGTTAACTTAACAAACTAATTCCTATGTGACTACAAAAATTACAGTGAGCACCTAATATCGTTAGGAATCTACTATAAAAATTTCAGGGCCAGTACTTCTACCAATTCATCACAATAATTCATACAAGTTCTTGTTTTACCCATTTTAAGTGCTTCAAATTAATTAGTCTACTCTAGAAAATTCTATGAAACTAAGTGAAAAAATACATTATCCGATAGGTCATAATTTTAGTAACCTAACAAAATTGGTTTCATAATTTTTGGACATCTAAGCGAATTGATATTAATTTCCAAAATTCAGCTTAGAATGTAAAATATAAGACTGTTTCTATTTTCTTAGGAAAAAGAAAAGGCAATTGGCCTCACGGCCCAACAAGGCGTGGCCCACGACGGCCTTGAACCGCATGGACGCGGAGCCACGCTGCGGGGAGAGCTGCAGCGCTGCCACGACAGTTGCACAAAAGTCCCCACGCCTAAATGAAATCACGCGACACTATGTGCGCTATTCACGTTGTCAACAATCATGCAATAATGACCCTGTAATAATTCACCTTCGCATCGGGGATGTCCTCAGCCACCCTACGCCACGTAAGCATACGGGCGAGCGACGCAACAACGGATGGCCACGTCGGCCAACCAGACCCGCCCGCCCGGCTAAGCGGGCGACCTACACTCTGAGCCAAGTTCCAACACTAGCCAAGTTACGGTAACAATGAGCTTGCGCTGAGGTGACGGCCGCATCTTGTGGGTGCGATGGAGGTGGAGGCGAAGCTCGTGGCGCAGTTGCCTAGGCGTGGGATGGTGCGGTGGTTGGTTGCCCTCGGCCACGGCCGAACCTGGCCTTCATGGCACATCGGAGGGAAAGCTCCAAAATTGGAGCTGGGCAGCGCCTCCATCACGGCTTGGTAGGGTCGGATAGCAAGTAGGCATGATGACTGAACTGCAGACGCGCTGAATTGAGGCGAGGTGATCCCTCGCTGGCTAACCACGTGGACGCAGCTCGACTCCGGCAGGCGATGGAGAGGGAGAGAGAGAGAAGTGATGGGGCGGCGGGTGGGCTCGGCACTGCTTCGGCTCGGTGGGACGTGGGCAACGCGATGCAAACGTACCCGCGTAGGGGCTACGGACAACGCGGCGTCCCCGACCAGCCATGGCCCGCGAGGCCGCAGTGCCATAAATGGCAAGTGACGGCGAGCGGGCCACGTGCATGCGACATCAAAGCGGGGCGGTGGCGGAGCGGCGCAATGCATACAACGCGAGCTCGACGGATGAGATTGCAGCGGCAGCGACTGCGGCGTGGCATGAGGCGGTGGCGGTGCGTCAGCGCGCGGAGCATGGCAGCGCCACCCCGCCATGCGAGCGGCAGCAGCGACGACTCCACATAGTCGAGCCAAGGTGGCCAAGATAGGGTAGTCGTGGCCGACCAAGCACGACAACGCGCGTGCGCGCGCAGAGCGCACCGACGTGGCGGCGACGCGCCCCCGAGGCATGGTGTCCGCGCGTACACGGCGAACTCTCCTGAGAACGTGTCATGCACGAATATTAAAGCTCTCACCGGAACTAAATCGTTGCTCCTAAACTTAAACGGTCTTGACTACACTCCAGGCAGTATATAAGACTACCAAATCGGGCTTTAACACTACATCACACATAAACCCGGTTTCTCAAAATAAATTGCTAAACATAGCAATGTCCAGCTGTTGACAAACTTGAAAATTTCTAAGTGCTTGAGCTGATTTTGGTTTCCAATTGCGATTTGTAAGCTAGTGAAATTATTAGCTAGTAATATCATTTTTCAACCGCAAGTATTTCATTGTCATCTACAAAGGTTGTACTTCAACTTTATTTAAGTATCACATACATGTTTCATAGCATTTTTGCTTAAAAAATTAGTTTTCAACCTTAAGTAATATAACATGACTATTGAATTAACTTTCATTTCGCATTTATGTATCGTTTCGAGTTACAGAAATTGATCTACACACTTTATCACATGCATTAACACATAAACATAATGCTCGTAACATGATTTAGTAGTTGGTTTAGGGCGTAACACCGAGGGTGTTACACTACATTAACATGTGCTAATGACGGATTAATTAGGCTTAATAAATTCGTCTCGCGGATTACTGAGGACTTCTGTAATTTATTTATTATTATTATCCGAACACTCCCATGTAATATCCGATATGATACCCGATGTGACATCCCTAAACTTTACTCTCTGGATTTAAACACCACCACGTATTGCCCAGTACCACTTCTACAGTATGAATTTGGCTGCTCTCCAGTCTCCACCGAAAAGCAATGAAACCTGTGAGGCAGTATAGACAGCAGGCGGGGGCACATGCGGACATGCCTATTTCACTTCAGCTTCACCAGCGGCTGTACGCAGTGATGCACAGTTACAGGTCTTCCATTGCTAGCAGCACCGATTGCTAGCCACCGGTTGTGCAGGATAATCAGCAGCCATGATGGTTGGACCAGCCTGTGGGAGAAGGGGGAACGCGTGCTGCATCGCGCCAGCCAGATATGCCTCCTGCTCAATCAAAGGAGCTCCCTTACTCTTAAAGCCATAAGAGCATCTCCAAGAGTATCTAATATTTTCTTTCTAAAAACATAAAGTTTTACAACTCCTAAAAAGTATGTTAAGGAGTACTGAAGGCCATCTCCAAGAGTTTCTAATAATCCACTATTTTACATCAGAAATCCTTGGTTCAGGGGCTCTTGTCATGTGAGCTGCTGACCGGTTTGGAGGAATATGCACAACCAAAGGACCGAACAACATGTCTGGGCAACGCTTGAGTCGTGATTGATGCTTTTTGCCACCCAGATGGATGTCAAATACAGCTCTTGTATCACAAGTCACATTGCAAATGGTGCAGACTAGCGGTTGCTCCCTTACTCGCTCAGGCCTTTGCCGCGGGGCTTGAGACACTCTCAGCTTCTTTCCACCACGGCCAACTCCTGTCAGTTTCCTCTTTGGGCCAACTCCTGTCAGTTTCCTCTTTGGGCCATTCTTGTTGCCGTTGACATCCATCCTTGCTACCACCAGTTGCACATTTGATGGACCTATTGCATTTGGTGGTGCTTCACCGCCATCTTTCATCTCATTTGAAGGCTGATAAGCTTGAACAGCAACATGCAGTTCTACCTGTGCTTCAACACTGTGACCATCTTCTGCTGTATGATGTGTTGTGTTTTGCTTGGAAGAACTGCCTGTCACCTCAGTAATTTGCCCTCCAGAAACTGAAGCTACAACATTTTCAGGAGCCAAGTCTCTGTGCTCCCCACCAATGCTGGTTGAACCAAGAGGTGGGACCATATGTACTGCAGTAGAGGGGCCTTCCACTTGAGCCAACTGAGAAGATGTTGATGAAGGAGCACCCGTGTCAGCTATAGCAGGAGTCATACCTTGCAGGCGAGCCATATCTTGCATTCTCTGCACAGTCCGTTTATGCTTCTTTCCATTTTTGTGCTGCTCAAGGATTTCCTTGCTATTACACCCCACTCGGCATATATCACACCAAGCAGCTGGAACTACAGTACCCGGTGTGAAATTGGTGGTTGTAGCTTGCATTACATGTGCTGGTGCACACACTGTTTCGGGCTGAGCCTCTGATGCAGATGATCCACCGGATGCTCGAATGGCTAACTGCCTATCACTGCTCTTGTTTCCACGCCCTCGGCCTCTACCACATGGTGATGTAATTCCTGCATTCCATGTAAGAGGATGATACATAGGGCTTCCACCTCTGCCCCCACCCATGAGCGTACCTATACCCCCGACCTGCAAGAAAATATAACAGCACCATGGTTAGGTATCTGGTAACATGACTCATGTTAATTTGCACTGAACCACAGCGCTTTGCAGCAATTGTGTATTGTTGCCAGTCTTTAGGAGTACACAGTTAACAGTTTGCTGCAGCTTACAAACACGAATGTACAAGAATTTACCACCTGTCTTTGTGTGCAGTAGACACGTACAAGTGATAAATAGGAAAAGTTAAAACACAGAAGTCCAAGCCAGCATAATACTCTTCTCTTGTATATATCTTATTCCCAGAAAGAGATTTTAATCTTAATGAAGAACTAATAAACAGGAATCTCAAGGAAAGCTCAAAGCAGATGTCAGGCAGAGAAAATACAACAATTTTTTTTTATCAGTGTTCCATTTATCCATGAATTATTGGTGTGATCATGGAGTATGTGAAATTATTAGTACAATAACAGCAGAAACCATGGAACTGTGCTAGCAAACGCTCATTTGAAGGATTAACCATGGACAAATTACTAGCCCACAGTTCGTCTTTCAACAGCAACCTCAACAAACTTCCATGCAACATCTCATTGGCCCAATTCCGGAATGAATTTGCTGTTAGGCAATAGTGCCTCACAGGAATAGATAAGAAAAGATATATAATTACCTTTCCCTATTCATTCGACCAATATTCTTTTCTACGGTAGATCAACCAACTTGTTTGGCCAACATCACAAATGGGTTTAACAGTTACAATATGGGAAACCCTTACCAAGGGAATATCATATACAATTATTGGTTCGGTTATAATGACACTGCAGATATCATTGTTAGAGTGCGAAGTTTAGGTCATCCAAGAACTCTCAATATTCCAAGATATCTGCATGTTCCAATAGTAACCTTTAATATTTCCACCTAAAATATAAGTCATTTAGGTAGCTGCAAGGGAGTATTCCTCGGAGTCAGAGAGATTACCAAATCCAATTAATCCTGCTCAAGTAAAATCATATGGTAGATATTGCACTACAATAAAAAAAAGAACAAACAACATGGATGGAACTTGGAACATCAAAGAGAAATGTTAGTGTGGATGTTGGGTCTGTCCTCAAACTAACTTAACACGAGCTGTGCACGGGCATATTAATATAACCAATACACGACCACAGGTGTGCATGTCTACCCAAGGCAGTACTTAATGATTACACTTGTAGACTACAATTTTTACTGCGATAACGAATATTACTACTTGTTTTACAGGACTCCAAAGTTAAATCACCCCAGTAAGCCAATACCCATAAAACTTTTGAAAAGAAAATAATCTCTTACCTTCCATGGGATAAGTCACCTGCACTTGATTTGCATTGGTCCAAAAGTTAGGGAGTGATTGGTTTGAGAAACCATTCCATCTTAGGTGAGGTGGTGCATCAGGAGGCATCCCTCAAATTTGGTGGAATGATGTTTCACAAGCGAGGGTAAGGCTCGCCACTGACACCCTTCCCCAGACCCCGCACTGAGCGGGAGCTCTCTGCACTAGGTACGCCCTTAGATGTTTATACTAATTGTGGATGGGGTGGAGATTCGGGGGTTTTCTCGACCTGCATGAGAAGGTCTTCTTAATGCAATGCCCAGGGACTGGCTTACCCCAGCAAGAGGTCGAGATTTTTTTATGTTTATACTAACATACTAACTGTTGGTTTGTGAGGAATGTGGTGGCGATGGATAAAACTCATTCAATTACCCAAACCAAACAAAAACGTGAGGAGTGAGAAGATGGTGGACCACCCAATTCCACCCTATAACGTCTAAGCAAACTGTTTTATACAATACAATTATCTATCCATTGAGTGCATACAAAGAAACTTACTTTCATGTAATACAGGGAAGAGTCCAAAGCTCCAGCTTTAAATACATATCTTACTTCATACACAAAACAGACTGAATATGCAGCAAATATACCGAGTTCACAGAAGGTACATCTAATTCTGGGAAACTATACAGATCAGATATGTCGAATAAACGTTGGCTATAGGTCATTTATAGTTGATTCGACAAAGCAAGAGGAATATAAGAAGCCAACTGGTTCTTTCACACTGCAGCTGCTGCTTGGTAATCTGAACTACTCAATCCAAGCATGATTATTACTAAAGTTTTGTGTGCATACAAGTATATATATGTATAGGCATACTCATATATTACTATAAAATCCAGAATGGTACACCAGTATAGGTTGGTACCGCAATGTTCCATTCCAAAAGACAAACTAGAACGGCCACTGGAATGGAATTTAGAAGGCCTATCTCCTATTAGCACAATCTGCAACACCAAACACACCATAGTGAAAATTTTATGAAGGCCTTGTGGCTACTAATCAGCAGTCCATGTGCATTCATCAGTTACTCACAATACGGACGAAGAAACTCCTTTTAAAGAAACTAATTACCTTCCTCCAGAATTATCATCAAAGGTTTCAAGAGCGTGAATAGACTTCCTTTAATGAATCAAGGATTTCAAGAGCCTGAATAGACTTCCTTTAATGAATCAAGGAGTAACTAAGGGGACACACCGTCACAGTACCATTACACCTACTGATGAAATTTGTACACAGCTCAGTAAATAGAGAGACGTAAGCGAGGTGCGTGAATACCGCTGTGGGATGCTGCGACGGCGGGTACTGCGGATCGTAGTACAGCAGGTGTCCCACGTCGCGCCCGGACCACCCGATCGAGGTGGCGAAGCTGGTGGGCTGCGACAGCGCGGAAACGGCTAAAGGGTTCGCCCCTGGCCCGCCCACTACGACGTTGTTCGATGCTGCCGCTGCGGACGACCACGAAGAGGAGGCGGCCGCGGGAGCAGCATGCTCTGTTCCCGGTGGGGGCGGCTGGTGGTAGTATGAGGCGGCAGCGGCGCTGTGGCAGGCGTAGGCGTAGGCTTAGGAGTATGGGTCGTAGTTGGATCGCTGCGGCCAGGAGGCGCCGTGGGGAGGCAGGCCCTGGTCGTAGCCCATCGCCGACGGCTCGCCGGCGACGACGGTGGGGAGCGGCCGTGCGGGAGACTGGGGATTCGTAGGTTGGGAATTAGGAATTTGGGATGCCTATTATTGGAGAAAATTCAATATTTAACACCCAATCTGGCCGGCTGTCAACATTTGACGTCCCATTCGTGTGTCGTTGAAAATTTAACACTCTGGCTGCGAATTAGTTGAAAACAGGTGTTTTCTTCTCTTTTCTCCATTTAACATTTTTTCCTTTTTTCTTTTGCTTTCCAAGGCAACGCTGAATGACCAAAGTACCTTGGCCTGCTGTTGCTCGACCATTGCGGCGCCTCTGGGCTGCGCCGACGGCCTCCATCAGCGGCGGAGCCGAAGACGGCGGGCTTTGGCTAGCGCCGGCGCCCAGCACCGGCGACCGTCCGCGCGCACGCATGGCCGGCTCGTCCAGCACCGGCGACCAGCCCCGCGCCCAGCCTGGCCCCGCGCGCGCCCAGCCAGCGGCAGTGCCTCTTCCGGCACCCAGCGGCGGCGACGTGAAGAACAAAGAAGAGCGGTGGTGGCGTGACGAACAGAGCCGAAGAAAAATGAGTACGGGAGTGAGATGCGTTCGTTTCTGAGAAGAAATGGATGGATAAGGCCAAGGCACGTTGCCTTGGAAAGCAAAAGAAAAAAGAAAAAAAAGTTAAATGGAGAAAAGGAGGAGAAAACACCTGTTTTTAACGAATTCGTAGCCAGAGTGTTAAATTTTCAACGACGCGCGAATTGGATGTCAAATGTTCACCGGGCCGGATTAGGTGTCAAATATTCAATTTTCTCCTATTATTGGAAGGAGGCACGGAGCCTTTCGGCGCCGCAGGGCCCTTTTACCTATGGGCTGTGCAGTAATACTAGATGTGGTTGAATTCTCTGATAGGAGGCCCGGCCCATAAGCTTGGAGCAGGTGGAGGTCGGAAGCACGCGTGATGGGCCATTTGCTTACTTGCTACAAGTAGAACCCGCGGTTGGATCGGCAAAGCGTCTTTGGCCCAGCAGCCGACCAAAACCAGCTCGAGGAAGGAAAGGCGAGGCGGAGACAGCGGGAGCCACAACACGAGCGGTGCTTCTGAACTGAACCTTCCTTCCACACCGCAAATGGAGGCATGGAGCTCTCGATCCGTCTGAAGTCAGCAAGCATTCTTTCGTTCTCATTTCTGACGGCATCGATCATCTATTGCACTGCACCACATGCAGCAGCCTTTCCTCTGCGATTGAGCAGTAAAGACCTGGAGGCTAGCTTAGCTAGAGATGATTATATATTAGCATAATTATTCCACATGATCTTGCCATCAGCAGGCCCTCTAACTGCCTGTCATGCTACAAGGCGAATCATGGCGGGATATGTATTTTCATCGCCAGTTGACAATGATAGCGCATCAGAAACCCTGAGCCGACACAGTAATTCGATTGCTTGTCTCCAGTAGTAGCAAAAGATCGAACGCAGACTCTCCTTTTTTTTCTACGCAAAATGTGCTGTTTTATTTTCCTTTTTGTCCTACTGAAAGTATAAAAGGTTCAGGTACTACTAGTACGGTCATCCACCAAAATAATAGAGCAGCACACGGTCGTGGCTGGCCCTTTAAAATCGAAACAGAGATTCATGACCCTACCGTATCTGGTAGGACAGCTCGTCGCACTACATCGCTGTAGGCCGCTGTACGAGTACGACAAGGTTGTGCTGTACTTGTACGTCGCCAACGCTGCTCGTGTGAGCCGCGACGACCCAACGCACCGCATCTCGCCGTGGCTTTTATTACTTCAGCGTCGTCCGCGAGCATGCACGACGACGCACTGCGGTTGGCGCGCAAGCGCGCAGAGGGCGCGCGCGGATCCAGATCGCCGGCCGTCGGTCCAGCCAGACGACCACGCAGAAACTTTGGCATGGCGCATCAAGTGATAGATGTCAAACGAACACTGACCAGCTAAGCTAGCTACGCGCTAATCAATGATTACCTCCACACTACTACATGCCTAGATCATCAACATGCGACCATGCGCCACTAGCACTTGTTTTGTACTCTTAACTATTGCTACACTACAAGATTTGTTCTTGTTTTTTATTGCGTAGCAAACGTACAACGTACACCAGCATGCCGTGCGCGCACACGACGACGACCTGCAGGCCGCGATTTGCGCGCTCCGCTCATCAGTGATCCGCCCGACGCGCCCTGGTGCATGCATCGACGCCGCAGCAGGTACAAAGTTGGATCGCGCCCGCCGGTGACGACGCGACGGAGATCCGAATCCGACGCACTGCACGCAGGTACGTACGCTCTTGCGCTGCCCGGACGTGAAGTAGTCGGCCCCGGACCTCACGGCACGGGCATGCAGTTGGTCCGAGTCCGGGTCTGACCTTCTGGCATGGTTGCACTAGCAGCTGGCTAGCGCCACGACGAGTCAAGCGTGGATTACGCAGGCTTGCCTGTTCGGCTGACTGAAAAAACGGCCGGTGCTGATGCTGTTATTTTGCTGAAAAGATACGTTTGATAGGTTCGAGCAAACAGGGCCTTAACCGCGCCCACCAAGCCACCACCGTCCGCTGACTACTACGAGTAGTAGTCTATCTAGGCAGTAATGCACCAACCCAAACACAAGTGATCACTCCACTGAACTTAGCGCAGTACTCTAGTGACGCTGACCCGAAGAAAGAAAGCTCCCTCGCTCCCTGGCTGACTAGCTCTGGGACTGGGAGATCCCTGGCATAGAACATTCTCATTAGTTCTTACCAATAGTCCAATAGACACCGGCCGGTGGAGAGCCCCGCCTCCATTCAAGCTGGTATGGGCAAATGGAAGGAAGAGACGATCGGCCGTGGAGAAGATGAGATGAGAGACCAAGGGGAAACGAGCCAGCCGACCGACGGAGTCGCTAGGCGCCAGTAGCACAAGCGGTGGGGAGGCAGCCAACCGCCCAACCGCCAAGGCAGGAGCCGCGACCAGAAGCGACGGCGAGCAGTTGGCGAAGCCGGCGCGCGCAGACGGACCCGCGCGCTCGCGTACGGCGTACCCAGTGGCCAGTACCCAGCTTCCAGGCTTCCCGCAGGCAGCAGCCACCTCCAGGGCTACAGCGCACCCACACCGGGGTTCGGGGGTACTGCCATGCGGGGGGCCAGGGGACCAGGACCACCACCTGCAGCCCATATGCACGGGAACGAGCACCGGTCGTGGCGGGCTGGCGGTGGGAACGAAGCAAACGGCGGAAACAGCTGCCTGGTGCTGTCTGCTGTGGACTGTGGTGCAGTGGCAGTGTTGTGCTGTGCCGTATCGATCTCGATCAGCGTCCGAGACAAGCAAAGCGACCAGGACTGGCACTAGCCAGCCAGTAGCCACTCAACTCGCTCTTGACACTGTCACACACAGCTCATGACTTCGGCCTGGTCTGCGAGCTCTTAAACCTGACTTAGATTCGTTTCTTTTTTCATCCGAAACAGTATTTTTCTTTCACAAATTTCTCCAGCATTTCTTAAAACCATCCAAATTCCTCCAAACGAACGGGCCCTTCGTGACCCAACTGGTGAGAGTAGCCAACAGAGTCGTGTGATGCATATGCATGTACCAGTTATGGCACTGGTAGCGTGCTCGGCAGGACACGGTGTGGCCAACAACCGGAAAGCTAGCTAATGACGTACTAGGGGAAAAGCTCGGCTCGCTCTAAAACATCCGCGTTCTGAGTTTACTTGCGTCGGGTTTTTGGATCGCATTTGACTAGTGACAAATTCTTGTACAGTTGTACCCAAGCGTTGGTGGTTTGCCCAACAATGGACCCAAGTTACGAAATACTACTATAGGAGTACAATTTACTTGTGCTGTGAGGTTCAATTAAACAGAGTTTAATGGGACAGGTCAAGATCAATAACATGCAGCCTCTTCAGGAGGCCGTATCGTATCGTGAATTATTTACTGCTGACTAGTTTGGTGTGAGAGAAAAATACTATTCCCGACTGGAAATTTACGATCGTTTACGAGCAAGCGAACAGGCTAGAGGTGAATGCACTTTTCAATTACAAAATCCGAGTAAATGGGCCACTTTGATTTAGGTACAAGAGAACCAAAAGAATAAGGACATGTTCCTATAATATTTTTCTCTCACAACAAATCAACTAGAATCCATTTATCAGCCAGCTTTAATACCAGCCGATCACAACAAATCAACTAAAATCGACTTATCAGCCGACTTTAATACCAGCCGATCAGTGTTCATCTAATTTAGGTACGTACTGCTAGAGCTAGACTAACAATCGCAATGGAGTAACAGAGGAAACAAGAGAAAAGAAAACAAAAATGCTCAACTGTTGTTCTCCTTCTCCATCTGATTCTTGCATGGAATGGAACCCACGCCCTTGCTTACCGCAGCAGCTGCGCAAGAGCATCAGCCGGCCGGTCTGAAGTTGGCGTCGTCGTAGTAGGTATCGATCGGATCGGCAGCTGGCCTGGCCTCACTGTCTGGCGCCGCCGAACTCGGTGTCGTACACGGCGGAGAGCTCGAAGTCGTCGTCCGCCGCCGCGACCGGCACGTTGAGATCGAAGGACCCGGAGCTGTCGCCGCATTTCGCTGCAGGCGTCCGTGGGGACGGGGTCGTCGGCGGGGCGGGCGCGCCGGCGGCGGCGTACGGCATGTGCGCGCGCTTGTGGCCGCCCAGGGCCTGTCCGGACTCGAACACGCGGAAGCAGAACGGGCACTCGTGGACCGCCGCCGGGCCCCCGTTCTCGGCGGCGCGGTGAGCCTTGGACGACGACGGCGCGGCGGGAGGCGTGGCCGGCACCGGCACCGGCACGCACCCGCCCTTGCCTTTCTTGATGCTGGCGCGGTGGCCGCCGAGCGCCTGGTACGACCGGAACACCTTCCTGCACACGCCGCACTGGCACTGGTGGTGCCTGCTGCCGCGCGGCGCGCGCGCGACGTCGTCGTCCTCGTGATGATCGGCGTCGTCCGCGCCGACGCCGACGAACGAGCGGACGCCGTCGTCGTCGTTGTTCTGCTCGGCCTCGGCCTCCGAGCTCGCCGGGCCCGCCCGACCGGATCTGCTGGATCGCGTCCATGAGTCCCGAGACAGCATCACGAGGGACATGGCCACGTCCTCCACCGGCGTCGCGTCGGAGACGCTGCTCGCTGGCTGCTCCTGCTCGAGATCGGACGACGCCACCACCGCCGGTGGCGGCGGCGCGCGCCGGCGCGCCAGCTTCGAGCGGCGCCGGCTCACGGCGAACCGCGGGGACGACGACTCCGTGTCGCTCTCCCCGTCCTGCACGACCGACGATTCGCCGCGGGCGGCGGCCCTACCGCCGGAG